CCGCGTATTAACGCGGGTCCTAACCTAATGGTATTATAATCATTATCCCTTGCCATCAATTGTTGGATAAGAAGTTGTGTTTAAAATAATGTTATCAATTCTAAATCAATACCCATCGTGCTGCTATATGTATTAGGTGAACTATATGTTCCAAGAACTAATATGCATATAAAATTATGAATATTCTGAATTTAAAACCAAATGATTAGAAGTCGACTTCGGTGATTGAATGTGGATCAAGAAACGTGGTGGTATAGGAAGAAGCGTTTCATGGAAATGGCTGGCTACGTTTTCTCGCGAGATGCCTTCAACATTCATAAATTCTAAAAGTGTATTTGGAACAACATCCGTAGGAGATCCCATTATTCAAATGTACATATATCGAGGGAGAGGATATATTAGAAATGGTAAACCCTATTAAATATAACTATGATGTATATATGTGATTCACCGGCAAGGCCAAGGTGTTCCACAGTGGCGATTAAATTTATGTGAAACTCCTCCTCCCACACCACTCGTCTTTTCTTTGAGGTGGAAGCACAATCACGATTATGGGCATGATCCTCCTCAATCCTCTTTTTCTCTTATTAGGTTTCTTATGGTAGAATCTCCCACAGAAGATGACTTCTCCGCGGTTGTTGCCGCCTTCCCATCTACCTCTCCGGCAGCCACACTCTTCCTTCCTTGCATCTTCTTTGCCACAGTTTGCATATGCAAACTTTAAAATGCATGTAGACAACCCACATAATAACAATAAAATTAAACACAAAAGAAACCTAAGTTCTTACCTTTCTTCGAAGGTCATGATCATACATTACGTGTATGTGGTTCCGTTGGTGTCTTTGGCTTAGCTGAAGTATTTGCTTCTAAAGCAAATAACAACATTCTCTGCAAGCTTGTTATTTTCATATCAGCAAGATAAATATAATTGATTAAAAAATAATCAAAAGATGAGACATCATTAAGCAAACAAACAAACACTAAGCTTTTAATGTTATAGAGAAAATTATTTAAAAATGGATGTAATATCTTACCTTTGTCCATGAGTAAGATGTTACCTCCTGCCTCATTATAATCACCCCCTATAAAAGCTAAAGAACCTTGAAGACACACACAATAATAAAAATTTGAATAATTTGTCTTCCTCTAAATGTAAATTCAAAATGCCATCAATCAAGAAACATTGACATTTAAATTGTTCCAGATGCTGAATCATGTATCATTAAAGATAACATGTAAAAATTTGTATTTTAGTGACCAAAAGTAGTTTTGGAACAAAAAGAATTTCGTTTAAGTTTTTTTTCCATGCAAGGTTGTGGATCTTTTGTTTTTTGTGTTCTTGGACCGGAGGTTTTTAGTCTACAATTTGATTGGTGGACTTGTGTAAATATATTTTGTTTTTAAATAGCAACCAAACAATGTAGGAATCAAATTCTGAGTCAAATTAAAGCATCCAAGATAATTAAACAAAACAAAACAAAAAAGCAACTGATAGACGGTCTCAATCATAACATTCATGAATCTGGCAAACAAAACTATCACCAACTTAAACTTTTTTTTTGTTTTTTTTAAATCTAGATGCAACTCAGACGAATTACCAATATTGCTAAAACGTTGCTAGAGGATTAGACAATCCGTGGCTTTATATATATAATAGTTTAGAATTGTAAATTGAGAATTTAAATTCAACACAAAACTAAAACAATCACATTACCGACATGTTAGTCTAAGGAATATTGCTATCATGGGGATTGATTCGATGCATTGTTCCAACCTTTTTGACTCTTTTTCTCTCGTTCCCTTTCTTGATTCTTTGATAATTTTTTCTTCTTAAATTTTACTTTATAGGCCCTTTCTTCGATTGAACTTTTACAAACAACGTATAATACGATAATTGTATTATTCATTTAATAACCGAAAAATCACATTTATAAATACGTGTGATAATGAAAACGTTTGCATTGCAATATTTCTATTAAAAACAAACAAAATACGTAACACCAACCATACCAACTTCATTAAGCTTTAGGATCTAGGCGTTTGTTCCTGCATCTCAGACCATTTTCGCGCCTTATACGGGGTTGTGAATGGTAGGGTCAATCTGTCTAGATATCATATATATAGTGAGAAACGTACGAAGACACAAAACCAAATTACAATGTCTCGCAACGTTAACCCATTAATTTAAGTTTTTCTTATCCAAAGTAAAGATTTGCACTAGTACTAAAATATTATGCAAGGTTCTTAAATAGTATTAAAATATTGTTGGGGTTCTAAAAAGTGTAGAAACTCACCCCAAAATTTCTTGTTGTAAATATTTTTGTGTGAGTTTCTTCATTTTTTTATAACCCCAACAATATTTTAACATTACTATTATTTTTTAAATTTTGTAAAAAATCTATGAGAAACAATTGTTGAAGATGCTCTTAATGTTATGGATATTATATTTACATAAATGGGTCTTGCCAAATAGAATAAATTATTCCCTGCATTTATAACAGTTTACAAAACCTTATAATATATTTTAAAAAATTATAAAACTCTTATAAACA